GGTTATTATTGTAAAACATGTCGAACGCGTGGGGAACCCCGCCAACCCGGGCCAGCCACTAAATTTGGTGAACAAACCTATTTTATACAGCCTCTCAACAAGAATGACTGCACAACGGTGAAGGCTTTTAACTATTTAATGATATATAATGCTCCAAAACTCATGTCAACATAATATACAATGTATTTGTAAGATGTCGGAAAAATTACTGCAAAATGATTTTAGATTACAATATTTTTGTAATCGTTTATGATTTGCTTGACGAGTACTTCTTTACTCACGTTTGCACCCCTAATAGGAGCCGACTGCAGGTTGTAATGTGTCTAGTGAGATGCTATTTCTATTAATTTAGCAGAAGCGACAAAGTGACTTGGAGTGAATTCAGATACAGGTCATTAGGTAGGGGTGAGGGCATCTTGCTCAAGGATACCGAACAGGTAGACAGACATTGGGCGTTGAACGTACCTTTCAGCTGGGAGTGAATCCCCCTAGTCGCTACACTCTCCTGCCCCCCAGATACTGATACAGTTAATTCACTTACAGTGGAATCCACGGCTGCTTTTAATATCCCAAGGTCTCCCCTCTAGTGTATTCACAAGAGCGAGTGAGTCAGTGAAAGAGAGAGGGGGACGGAGAGAGTGGAGAGGGGTATGGAGAGAGTGAGACATTGTTACTTGAAAATGCGAACATCTCTTTGCCAGTTTTAATCAGCAGGGTTTAGTGTGAGTGAACCCCAAATGTGATGTCACAGTGTCAAGGTGCCGGTGCCTGTCGAGCTTTACAATGGCACACACACGTCAGTCAGTCAGTCAGTCAGCCGGCGTGTGATTGGCCCCAACATCTGTGGCATATCACTGGGGTGTGTGCAGCATGCCTACTGACAAGCTGATCTGTCAAAACATCAGATGTAATCTGAAATTTGTAGAATGAGATCTATACTCTCTCCTTTCTGTTTGTTTATTGTAGTTTTTAGTTTGACGGTGGTTGGTTGGGGAAGGGGTGTGTGTGTGTTTATAATGTGCTACTGTTTATCTTCTCGTGATTTGGTATGACTTGGTTACATGCCAGGAACTTTTAATCTTATTATTGCAGCTTTAAAAGATTGAAGTGTTTAATGCTGATTTAAGAGCAATGTGTGTGTGTGTGTGTGTGTGTGTGTGTGTGTGTGTGTGTGTGTGTGTGTGTGTGTGTGTGTGTGTGTGTGTGTGTGTGTGTGTGTGTGTGTGTGTGTGTGTGTGTGTCTTCAATTTCAAACCTATTTTCCGATTAAATATTCATTGGTGGTGTTTTAGTTTTTGATGAAAATTAGCAGTGGACTGTGAAAGTGAAAACTTGTAAAACATTTATTTTCTTGGTAGATATTGTACCAACAGATGTTGTTTCCATAATTTCCTGTGTTATCATCATAACGAGGATGGTTGTTGTTGTTAGAATCAGTAATCCATTTACCCAGGCTGTTCTCACGGATCTGCTCTTTTAGTCCTCGTCTCATATGATTGCGATCCTAACGAGTGATGCGGCGACGCCATCTTTGTTTAGGGAATCGGTTGTATGTGAATGGACAGGCAGGGAAGAATGTTCTCTAATGCATACAAAAAAAGTCGATGGGTCACCATGTCACTAAAAAAAAAAACAATGTTATGGAAACTATCCATTAAACCGTTACTCCACAGTTTTTAAGTCATAAATTGCAAATCGTTGTTTAGGGAACAGTGTTATCAGGGGTTAAAATTGAAAGCTGGAAAGTTGTCATTTGCTTTGAACACTTGGTCATTGGCCAATGAATCTGAAATAGCTGGCACGACACAAAGAAAAAAAAACACAACAAATCTGTTGTTCCGTTTCCAGAATAATTACAGGCAATTACACTAAGGTCATTACAATATCAAGTTCTTGGCTGGGAATGAGGTAAAGAGGAAGCAGATTGCTCATTGGGGGATGTTTAAATGTTCATTGTCATTCACATTCAGGACCAGTTGTGGTTGTTGCAACAAACTCAGCGATATAAATGAGGTAATGTTACAATTAGGACACGCTTTATAGCAACACCTAAATGGATGTGTATTTGCAGCGGTAGTATGCGCTGTAATAGTGGGATGGAGTGATGTGAGCAAGAGCACACCCTATCATAAATGTCGTCTATGGCAAGAATAACAACTATAGATTGAAGCTGTATTTAACATTGTGTGTTTGATCGATGTGTTTTAAACACCTTTTTTTTCATATTCTCTAGTTGTAAACCGGTATTTGAATATACTGTAGACATACAGTATATGACATTATGTAACAGACATGGAAAGTGTTTTATCATTTATTGAGTAAAATACATTAAACTGTAACCCGCCCTAATCAACACATATCCTCTCTGCAATCTAGAGAATGTTTTTGCAGCACTCTGCAGAAAAACCCAATACCAGTTGCTCTTTCAATAGCAGAAATCAACTATTTACCGACAGTCACACACTGCACGTAGGTTTTTTAAGATGAATGGCGCATTCATGTGCTTGAATGCCCACTATTAATTCTCACTGTGGTCTGTCACACACCAAGTAACAGACCACCAGTGACATCTCACTCACTCACTCACTCACAAATGTCTTTGGGGACACGGTAATAATAGTTCAGGGATGAATTTGTCTGCTGTTGTGGTGGTGGTAGTGATGGAAATAATAGACTGGAATTAGAACAGCGGGGTGCGACAGGAGGAATTGTCAGCAGCGAAATGAAATGTTCAATCGGTGAGGAATACTGACTTGAGCAACCACAACAGACAGGTCATGGCTCCATAGCAAATTCATCGCTTTCCCCTCGATCTTCGCAAGAACAAACGTGATGAACAGAAAGAACATGGGCACCTTCTTATTCTGAAGTGTTACCTAGCGTTCGATGTCTTCTCTAGTCAGACAGGGAAAAAAACAAACAAAAGTATCATATCATCACTCATAACCAAGCTATGAGTTGAGCACAGCCTGGCACATTTGTTTGCTGTTTTCAGCAATCCCTTTTGGCAAACCAGAATCCCATTTTCGCAAAAAAACACACCAATTGTTACATTGGGCCTTTTCCGTCAGAATGAGTGACTCAAATGTTTAAAGCATGTAATCAAGTCATTGTCATCTAATGAATACTTCCTTGGACACGTGCCTGTGTGAGGCGGCTTGCTGAGGTGTGAGGCGGTAATTGGTACCTCGTAGAAGTAGTAATCAGGTGGTTAATCTGAGAGCTCTCCTCGGCACTCCTGCAGGCTAGAAGTGTCGGCGATACAAAGAGGGAGAACAATGTTCTGTTGAATTCTCCTCTGTGGTCTGCGCCAGATTAACGAGTTAAACAACATTCATTCAACTCGCACATTCCCAGGGTTAAGTCCCATTATTATTTGAACTAGACCCTCAACATCCATGCAGTGTTGAGTACGCACTCTTCAGATGATGGTCACAAGCCACTGCTTTACAAAAAAAGGACACGAAAAAACCTAAAAGTGGTTGTTTTTCTAGGCAGTGAGAGCCACAGGCTGAAATTATACAATGGTTGTACAATTTGGAAGAGCGCAAGCTAATTACAAGCTAACTCTTGTACTAACCTCTCTTGTACAGCCTGTGCCCTTTTGTTTGATACTCTCGCTGAATGTATTGTATTACAGCCTGGTTTTGCGACAGCACACAGTCCCAGTGGCGGTGAACACATCTGAAGTTGGGCCTATGAAATTAAGTGCGTTTTGATAAATCATGGGTTAATAAGAACATTCTCAATGACCACAGACAATGCATATTAGTCCAATGCAATTATTCAGCACTGGCTACAGACTTGATGGAGCTTGCCAATCAATGTGCCAATAACAGACCTAACCACACAGAGCCCCATGGTTTCGTGGTGAAGGCCATACATCCCCTGTGAAGGGTTTGTTTTGGAAGACATCGAAACGGGTCTGCTCTCCATGTGTAATGTATCGTTGAGCAATGTTTGTAAATGCATCCAAATACTTCTGCTTACAAATTTCATTGCCCCCCCCTAAAAGCAAACCAATTAAACAGACCAATTAAAAAACAATGGAAACAGTGAGTCACTGTTGCGACCCAATTGAATCAGGTGATTGGCCCAAACACTCAAATTACGTTATACAAATACAAATTATGTAATTAGTGGGAATTATTTACAAACAGCAGGAAACCACAGTTAAGCCTTTTTTTGAAATATATTTAAATATATAGCAAACCGAACATAAAATGATGGTCTTTAAAAATCTACAACGGAGGCCCATGTGTAAATATCTGAATATTTGCAGTACTCCAACCCGCCGCCCCCATCTTGCTCCTTTTTCTCTTCGTCTCTCTTGTGCTATTTTTTGCTTACAATATTTTACAGTGCAAATCTTTACTGCCTGGCTGGAGCTGAGGGATGACGCACATGCCGGCCTCGGGGCAGTGGGAACAAATAAGACGCGATGCTCATCCAAGGGGAACTATGCGTAAAACATGCATACAGTAAAGAAGTGGGCCTTGTGAGGAACACAAGTGTCACTTGTACACACAGTGTCAATTTGTATCAGTTTATTTATATTTTGTTTTACATACTACAGGTTCAGCTGATGTCTCGCTTACATACAAGCAGGCGTGAGGTAGAAGTGTCCCTCAGGCATGAGGTCATGGGTCCCGGTGGTTGCTGGTGAGGCATAAGGGGATGGTTAGACTTTTCCTCCCTTTTTCTTCAAGTTCTGTTGTGATACCCTTGAGGGTGGCGCCTAATCCACCAATTATTTTGGACTGTTCCAAGTCAATCAAGCAGAACAAACCTGGGGAGACCTACCATGTCTAGTTCTGGCAACAAAAAAAACCTAGTACCAAACAGTGAATCAGGGCCATTGCAAAAATAATAACATCATTAGTGAGTCTTTCCTGGATGAATTAAGTGGAAGCTCACACACACAGAGACACCTAACCCAAAACGGCGACCTCCATTATTAATTTATTCCTGTCTCTTTTAACACACACAACTACTCTAACTAAACAGCGGACATTGGGGTTCGAACCCAGAACCTTTCGAGTGGAAATCAAACACCCTTGCCACTAGACCATCATGCTCAGCAAAAAGGGAAAGTGACACATCCTATTCTCAGTCCCCTAGTAGGGGAGGTTATTCAGGGTGATGGCCGTCTGTGCCGTGTAATGAAGATTATTTAGTTGGACAAGACTTGCTGCTTTTGATGCGCCCGCAAACACTTGTGTCTTTGAAAGCTCGCAGACTGTGGCTACGGCGTGCTATGAGTGTTCTCCTTTCATACTCACGCCTTTATAAAATCACATGTTTAGGTATCAGGAAGCCCGAGAGAAAAGTCATGAATAAAGCAGAATAAAGGGGCTGTTTTTTTAGCACAAGGGGTATCTCGGTGCCAAGTACCTTGGTTGCAAAGAGAGAGAACATTTGACCATTTAGTTTTTTTGTCCGGCAGGAGGTAGTGGCAGCATAGTCTAGTGGTTAGTGTGTTTTCACTCCCAGCCAAAAGGTTCTGGGTTTGGACCCCAATGTCCACAGTCTACATATAGGCATCCCTGATCCAAATATGCCTATACCCTACCATCACCATACCATAAAAATCACTCTAAATCGATTTGAATAAAGTAGGAGCTATGAAACATCTGACAGAAAAAATCTGAAGGGAAACCTTGTTTTTCAGCGTGTTGACTTTGTGGCCTGGGCCGACCTCAGTGGTTGCTGTGTGTGACTCATTGTCTTCCAGGAGTCACATCAAGTTTACACTGGTCCCTTCCCACGGCACCACTCTAATGTCACTCCCACTACCCTGGGATTTGTAGGTTTTTTTTGGGGCCATTCTTAGCCATTTCTTCGCCTTAAATGTTAACAAACCACTGCTGCAAAAAATCGAGCTAGTAGACGAGCTAGGAAAACTAACGGTGAGTCTTAATTATCCGCTAATCAGCTAAACAGTGGCACAAAGGGAAGAGCAGGATTGATGTATACAAGATGAATATCTCTGATGCCAGCACTGTTATTAAATTCAGCCAAAGGAGGGATCCATCCCAACCATGCGAAAAATGGACAAAAGACACGAGTGCCCATCCATGTGAGATAAAGACGTGAGCTCCCATCCCCGCAAGATAAAAAAGATGCGGGATGAAATGCCCACAAAAAGCGACGGCAAAGCCGTCCAAACCCAGCTTCGCCAGATAGAAGCACTTAGCTGGAAGTGAAGGAGATCAGTCATGATGGCACCAATGTGAAATATAACTGTGTTCTGTCTGTATATATTATATACAATATATTATATTATTATTATATATACAATATGTTAAGTATACCACATACAGTATATTAAATGTCTCTCAAACGAATATGTCTCTAAAGTTGTACAATATATATAAATACAATAACTGGTCATTCTTCGAGACGCTTGCCATGCACGCAGAGTATGGCTAGAGTTCTCAACAGCTTGATTTATTTGTTAATTCCTATAATTATATAATTAAAACCGTTAATGTTATTGTTGCCATTATTATTATATCCTACCTTATCTCCTAAGGTCACCTAATGTAGGCCTTTCCTTGTGTAACCCCTCAAACGAAAAACACTACCGCCGTTCTGTCTGGGGCATAATATCTAGGCCTGCCTGACTTATAGGCCTAGTTTTGATCGTAACTCATATGTGACTTGATAAATACGTAGATACATCTTCCAAATGCAAGCTGCAGCTTAAGATTACACTAATTGGGCTGGAGGTGCCTGTTGGATAGATGTACTATATATCAAATTACTATGGCTGTCCTCCTAAAAAGGTGGGTGTGTCGTGGTGGTATAAAAGGTGATATGTCCTATTGCAACACTGCTTAAAAGCAGCAATTAAATAATGTGAGTGAGTGTTGAAGTGCTGGAATGGTGGATAACACCTTAATATGCTGCATTGCCAACTTTTAGTACTTTTGCTTGTGAAAAAAATATAGATATGCATTGCTTGTATTGTACTACAAGTGCTTACATTTGGAGTGTTCCTTATTGTTGTTGTTGTGTAAACACATTTTAATGAGAACATTGCTCGGGTAAAATACCAATTACTTTTTGTTCCAAACACAAATGAGTGCTTCAGAAAATGGTGAGTGAATGTGCCAATTTGGATAAACATGTGGTTGTTGGACATTTTTATTCAACACAGGAGATATTTTTGTTGTAGAGCTAAAATCAGTTATTTGTTTAAAAATGCAAGCCGTTGGCCAGCGTAATGTAGTGTGCCATTAAATACACCAAATGGAGCCAAATTAGATCTACAAAAATCTTCAGATTGACGTAAGACAACCATTTGCCAGGGAATACCTGGCAAATGGTAGTTTAGGATAATTTAGCCTCTTAGTGGTATTATGTGGTTGAAATTAGTTAATGTCTCTTGGCAAAATACAAAGGTTAAGGAAATGAGTTGACCTTTCTTAACATTGTTAAAGAATTAAAGTGCAGATACAATCCTGTCCTACCAAGCCTTGTTTACTAGCATTTGATTCTAGATAATGAAATTTGATAACTTATATATTAGATGTACATTTAAATAGAATACTTACTTAAATACAATACTAAAATCTTCGGATGGCCTAATATTTCTAAATTATTCCTTTTTAACCCATTTCTGTCCAACCTAGTGAAGCCTTGCTCCTCTTTGGCTGCCAGACTATTGTAGGAACAAGTCATCAAATATTATTGGTTTAGATGTGAATCCTGACATTCCTTTTGCAAAGTGCCCTGAGCCAGAATGCGCTCCCCTTGCTGCCATGAGGAAAAAGGCAAATAATGCGATTTTCCATAAAGGATCTGTCAGTGTCTGCCCCAGGTTTTAACTCTTTAACGACAAGAAATGAGGTGAAAATGTGGCCAAATGAAATATTGTAACTTGGTGTAGCGACACATCTCCTCACTAAACGGTGCCTCGTGGCATAACATTTATACTAACATAACATAATAAAATGTGCCTGTGAATCGTTGTCATGCAACCACATTAAAGAATTGACATCCATTCCATGATTATCAATCAATAAATAAATATATAATAATAATATATACACATCCCATGATCCCCCCCCTCCCCCCGATGCGTCTATAATCTGAACAAGTCTGCCCGGATATTAAGGGGGCTGAAAAATGGAATGTACCACTGGCCCGCAGCCAGACAGGGATCTGCACTCCTCTGTTGTGGGAAATTGGAGCCGTTTTAACGATGCATGAAAGATAGTGGCCTTTTTAATACAGGGATTAGTGGGAATGCCACATGCTGGCTGGTATTGGTGTGGCTTTGCTGCACGACAGGATGAACGGACGTGGAGATTTGGCTTGTCATGCCGCTCCTGGAAATACAGAATAAACTGTATTTCAATCCATCACACCGTCGTGGAAAAATAACCAGGAGGAATGTGCAGTTTGCATTTTCATAGTCCATTAACTTCTTCATTGACAAAACGCACACAAGCGGGGAGAAGACCTCATTAAAAAAATGCAGGAAAATAGAGATTGATTTTCAAACTAATCCCAATCAACCTTTAAGAAGATTAAATTGAGCTCTTGAAGGTCAACTGGGGTCATGTAGGATGATGGAAATAAACAACTGCAACAAAATATAACCAGAGGGTGTGTGCGTGTATGCGTGTGTAAAATATACACACTATACACACACGCACAGAAAGAACATGTTGAGGACAGCTGCAGAGTTTTGACACCTTTCATGTCACCATTTGTAGACACCGTATGTATTTATGCATCCAATGTGCATTTAATGTCGATTTTACTGAACACAGTGATTTATACTCTCATAGTCAGCTGGGATAAATCCTTCCAATTATGACTGCTGCAGTGAGGAGAGAACTGATAACATTAAGCCCTTTAGATAGTGATGGAAGCAACTCAATTGGACTACCAGAGAGGTGTCTGTCTGTCTGTGGGGGTGCTTGCGTATGCAAAGCTATCCATCAGTGTTTGTGTGTGTGTGTTCTTCGATTTCTGTGTCTGTGTGTTCATGCATGTGCATAGTCGTCTGTGACGTGTGTGTGTGTGTGTTTTGTGTGTGTGTGCGCATGCATGTCTTGTATGTGTGTGTCTACACTGTACGCTGCACAGGCGATAGGGTGGTGGCTGAACTTTCAGCCCTGTCTCTGCCAAAGTAGGTCAGCTGTGGCTAACCCCCCTCCACCCCTCCTTAACAGACCTCTCTCTGGGTCAGCGTCTCAGACTCGGCCCCCGCTCCTCCACTCTCTCTGGGTCAGCGTCTCGGACTCTGCCCCCGCTCCTCCACTCTCTCTGGGTCAGTGTCTCGTACTCGGCCCCCGCTCCTCCACTCAGACGCTGGGCATCTGGGGAGCGGCAATGTGGGGCCCTGGATCTCATGCTCGCGTCTTGTGATGCAGGTTGTGGGGGCTGAGGACCTTGTCATGAAGATGTCCTCTATGAGTGCACGTCTTCCAGATGAGAGTGGATGGTTTCCTGTGGGGGAGCCTGTAGATGCCAGTGCTGGGCTGTAGCAACACCGGTATAAGGCAGCCAGCTCTTAGCAGCCACAACCTTTAAACGTCCCGTATTTCTGACTGTAAGAACATTGCTGCCGTTCTATTTATTTGTTGGTCCTTTCTCCTGCTCCCTTGGTTTACATCGTCTCTAAATGAAGCTGAAAATATACACAAGTGTCATCAGCAATGTATCTTCCAAACCATAGTGCAGGCCTATTCAATTGGCAGGCCCGCAGGCATAATGTGGCTCATTTTGATCCAACCTGCAAATTGTTTATTAGAACAAACAATCAGAATCAATTTTCCCCCAAAAGCAAGAATTAGAGCTAGTTCAATTTCCTCCAAGGAAACCATTTTATTGCCCTTTTTCCCGCCCCTATGACCAGGGGCGGACTGGGACCAAAATTCGGCCCGGGCAATTTTCTCCTGGACTGGCCCACCACAGGAACGACGGCCACCGGAGGGGGGGGGGGGGGGGGTTGTTGCGCGATCGTAACATGCCCTGGACCTACGATCGACGTATTATGACAGTCCTGGACTAAAAAAAAAAAAAATAAAAAATAAAGAATTACGGCCGGCCGGCTCAGCC